CCGTAAAGATTTACAGCCTCAGAAACCCTGTACAGGGTCGCTATGAGTCGGAACCGACTCCACGGCACATAACAACAACAACAACAATTATGTCCTCTAGAGCAATATTAAACATGTGTTTTTTATCTTCTAGCATAAGGCAGCTTCAGATATTGAAAACAGTGATGTCATGTTCTTTTAAACTTGAACTTCTGAGTAAATAACCCAAGGTCTTTGGTTTATAAATTTCCCAATATTCTGGTCAGTCTCTTCTGGATGTGTGACTATAAAAACTAGATTTGTTTGGTTTTAAATTTATAAAACGAGGGAGACCATACTGAGACAAGAGTAGAAACTATGCAGGAGTCATATTTTCAATTCTTTGTTAAAAAAATTCCTTTTTAGAAATAGAAAAATGGTTGTATTAAGAACTCTGATGAGGGAGAAATCATTAAAGAATGTAGGAACATTAAAAGAAGGTTAATTAAAAGGCATTACAAATGAACTAGGAAATAAAGATAATCTTGTAGATTAGGAACATTTCTGTAGCTCACAGCAAAGGAATATAAGATTCTCTTTAGAGAGTTCACATGAGAATTGATGTTTGTTTTTTCATCTTTATATATTTTTGTTTTGAGATTGAAGAGATGCTTGAAAATGCTGAACGGGAACGTCTGGGAAATTCTCGACAGCCAGAGAAGCCTCTTATCCGACTACGAGTAAGTCCTATTTCTCAAACTTTCATTAATTTTCAAAGTATGTTGTTGTTTGGTGGTGACAAGTCGGTTCTGACTCATAGCAACCTTGCATACAAGTCTTTACGACTGACTGTTTTGAGTCTGTTGGTCAGAAAGTTCTTGTACATTATACATTGTTTCAAACTATGTTGTTCTTAGGTGCCCTTGAAGTGGGTATTGTTGTTGTTAAATGCCCTCCAGTAGATTCCACTTCATATTTTGTGCTGTTGAGTTGGTTCAAACTCATAGTGAACCCTGTCCAGGAGCTAAGTGATGGGTTTGAACTGCCTGCCTTTCGGTTAGCAGCCCAGTACTTATCCTTCTGCACCACGTATAATTTACATGGATTTTCTGACAAGTAGTGAGGAGAGGGCTTGCTATAATCAGCAGAGCAATTACGAAATTGCAGAGCCAGAAATAATAAAGCTGCAAGGGTTTGATGTAGTCACATAGAAAATTGTTAAACGTATAGAATATCAGGCCCCACATCATATACACTGAATTGCATTTTAACAAGATCACCAAGGAATTTGTGTTAAAATTTGAATAAAAATTTCAGCTATAATTTGAGAAACACGAGGGTCTCTTTGGAGTCCTGGTGTGGTGCTGCGGGATAACACGCTGGACCCCAAAGCCACTCCTTGGAAAAACCCAATAGAGAGTCACTGTGGATCGGAACTGACTCGATGACACTTAACAACAGCAGCGGCAAGAGTTGCTGTAGCAGTGGTGGGGGGGGAGGGGACAGTGGCCGTGGGCTTTACAGGATGGAAGGAGAATCAAAGTTATCTGCCCAAAGCTGATTCCTGTGAAGTAGGTTAGCCACGGTCCAGCGCCAGTCTTGGCTACCAGTTCTAACAACAGCCATCCTGGCCACAGCACTCAGCTTCTCTGCTGGGTTCAGTGATTCATTCCAGTGGCCGTACAGAACTCACAGACCATACTCAAAATTATGGGCTTTATGAAGGAACTGAACGGTTAAAATTCAGGACCGGACATGTTCAGGATTCAGTTCTTTGATCAGGCTAGTCTCTTCTCTGTTGTGCTCCAGGTAGGCTTCTCTCTGGTCCTCAGCCACGAAGTCCCTTGACCTCTGCCCTGCACTGACAGTGCTACAAAGCTCTTTTAGGGCTGTCATAACTGAAATGTGTTTTCCTTCCATCTTTTTTTTTTTTTAAGTTTTTATTGCACATTATGTGGATTTACATGGAAGAACATCAGTTTTACATTCATCCTATTGTATTTTGTTTCATTACTATGATTACAGTCACCTCCATGCATCATCAAACAACCAAAGGGTACACCCTACAGGCCTGCCCCCGGCCATCAGCACACAGTCCCTCTCCCTCCCTGAGTCCAGTGACCCAGCCACTCCATCTGTCCATGTCAGTCATCGTATCTTCCTCCATATCTGGGTAGGGTTCCGAGCTCCATTCTTCTCATTTGATGGTTCCAGGGGCCTCCACTCCTGGACTACAAAATCAGTCCATGCCCCTCCTTTTGTT